AACCCCTAAATGTTGTCTCTCTCTCTCTCTCATTACAGTCAATGGAAATGACTAGCTAAATCTAATCAACTCTGAGAAAGATCTACTTAAAATGCACTTTTACTGCCAGAGATAATTTGTTAAAAAAGGCCCCTGAAAATGCTCTCTATTATGTTTTGATTTAAACTATAAACAAGTGATATGTGGTTGATGCAAAACTTTAATAACCAAAAACAACTGCAGAGAAATCTCAAGTACCGTCTCCTTCCCTGATACAACAGGTTTTCAAGTGAGGTCCAAGACTGACTGGCATCAGGAATCACCACCCTTAAGCACTATTACATCAACCGACATGTCATCAGGAGAATTATAAGTGACATCACTTCAACTCTCGCAGCTGGAGGCTGGCGATTACGGTAATATTGGTGATAGGAAGAGGGAGGATAGCTTGCATAAGGAGAAAGATTTGATCATGAGATTACATTAGGAATCCAATACCCTAAATCACAAAGACAAATAATAATCCTATCACTCCCTCCAATCTCCATCAGCTACTGACATCTCAGGAAAATGGTAAAGAGGAAGAGTATATAGGGTGAAGGGTAGAGTGCCAGAGTTAAATATATCCAGTTATATGGAAAGAAAAAGTGCATGTGGAAGGAGGTGGGGGTGAGGAGTGGAAAACGAGAATACACTTTATTTTATAAAACTGTACTAAATGTCAGCTTTACATTAAAGATGTGCTGGCATGGGATAATGATCTCATCGCAAGTCTGAAGAAAAAAAATTCCCTTTTAAGTAAAAGACTTTAGTTTTCTTTTCTGAAAATAGCGAAGCTGCCTGTTATTTAACAATGACAATCGCAAATAGTTCTATATCCTCAAAATGTCTTTTTTTGCAATTATGAATCCTAACAACAAAAAGCAGGCAATGGGAACAGTGTAGGTAGGGCCCCTGACTAGTGCAAGTGCGTTTCTAGAACTAGCTGCACTGCTAGTTTTTTCCACATTTTAAGTGTGGGGAATCTCTCCAAATCCTATGGCTTCTCAAAATATAAAGGATTAAATTTTGGAGTGCCCCCACTGTACTACACAGGAAAATCGCTCTTTCAATGTTGACTGAGTATGAAGAGGCCTGTTAATCCCAGAAGAAACACAGTTATAGTAAAACGAGAGAGTAAACAGCAATTTAATTATAAATCCATTACATTTTAAAGTATGACTTGGTGGTCCTTAAAAACAATCAAGCATTTCTTACCCTCTTTTTCTCATTAATACCTCTTTAACCCTGGTAATTTGAAAATTAATTGAGGATACTTATGACAAAATAGGAGGCTATTAGAATGTCCTTAACTTCTGGTATCATGTAATAAAACCTTACAGCTTTATATACATATATAAAAATAAAAGATATCAAATTCACCCAAGGAACCTTGTCTGTGTATTTTATCTTGTATTCATTATAAAATTAACATTTTAAATGAGAAAAGCATACTTTTACAGGCTAATCAAAGTATTACCACTTTAAAACATGAGAATCTTGTGCCTCAAACATGTCATTTTCTTTCTTGCTTTTATAATGAAAACAGGCTATCAAAATGGTTTAAAGCTATATATCAAAGTAATTTCCTTCAATTTCCTCCATAATTTGCGTCATAATAAACACATTTAAATATATTCCAACATTATAAGAATCTCTCAGTGGTTGCAAATGACACATTACAATATGGTCAACCATTTGATTTTCAAACTACAGACAGAAATGTTGTTCAGTGTAGCTCAGATGGTTGTTTAAAGAGCTTTGGTTTTACCTGCCAATATTTAGGGATAATTCTTGTTGCCAAGCTGTGCAACATGCAAGAAAATGCGAGCCTGAGTCGCAGGAGAAATTTTGTGTTTTTGTCCTCCATCATGAATTTTTCCTACTTTGTGAAACAAATGTTAAAAGAAAATTCAATTTGGAGTCCAGTGTCCAGTACAGCAGTACCCAACCTTCTGGTCCTGTGGGCTAGATGAGTGGAGCAGGGCCAGTCCATGGGGCAGATCGTGCAGGCAAGATCTGGTTCACAGAATAGACCTGGTATGGGGTTTGAATGATCATGTAATCTTGCACATTGGCTTGGCTTCTATGTGCCAGATCCAGCTGCAAAGGACCCCTCTGAAAGCTGTGGCAATTAATACTGTCAGCACCCCTCACATCAAACTTCTGGCCCTATGTGGAGCCCCATGGACTGGATGACATAGCCCCATATGCCACATGGGCTAGAGATTGGGCACCACTGGTCTAGTGCTTGTGCTATGGGACTATAGCACAGACATAACACAAAGTAGCCACATTAAAGTAGTTCTGCAGGACTGTGCAAAGCTTTGGTCACCGATTCGATTCAAAGGAGATTCGACAGCCGAACCTTTGAATCTGAATCTAAATCAGGACACCCATTAATCTTTCCAAATCAAATCAGAAGCCTCCGATTCGAAATCGGAGAGATTTTACCATAGCACAGCTTTATGTGTTTTCTACATACCTCGAGGTACCAGGTGTGGCTTGCGAATGCTGAGATGGTGGGACGGAAGGAGCGTCCTACAGGAGCAAGGGGGACTTCCCCCCACGCTTGGTGGCGGACTCAGAAGTGGACCAGAAGTACTTCTGGTCTACTCCCGGGTCTGCCGCAGAGGACCTTCCTTTCAGCTTGGCAACTGGTGCTTCTTGGTCTGAGGGGCACCC